TAAAAAAATCCCTTGACGGTCTTAAAGCCCGAAAGATTCACCAGTTTCAAGCAAAAGTGGCGAAAGCTTAATTTTTTCAACACCGAATTTGTAGACCAACGTAAAGTGCTCATTCAAGAACCAAACGCTTGTAGTCTGCGACTTAGGAAATCCATTCCGTGGAAACGCTAGTGTTAATTTAAAACTTAGGTTTGAGATAAAGAAAAATACCAAAGACCAAACCCTAGATCTCATGTTGAAAGTGAACTCCACATCGACGGAAAAGTCGAAGAGGACCGAAGTAAAACTGACCGCAATTCTTCAAAAAATTGCCGATTTCAGTATTACTGGGTAAGAATTCCAGTAAAATCGTCTACTTGAACTAGAGAAGCCAAATCATTTCAGAAAGGGTTCGACGAATCTGTTCTTTGGTGGCAAAGTCGTTGGAGAGTCGGCAATGAACCATTTAGAAGACATTGGATCAAGAGTGATCCATCGATATTATCTGGATAATAGAGGACAATGGGACCTGCCCAGAGTCAAAGTGAACATTCAGTGGCCGTACCAAGTGAGGCCTGGAAGAAACGGGAATGAAGGAAAGTGGCTACTTTATCTGGAATCAATGCCCGAAGTTTTAGGTAAACTAATTAAAACGCCACAAATGCAGAATTTTTCAACGAAGGTCAAAATTTACAGGATCCACAACTGATGCGGGCACGCTTTGTTACATTGCCAACACTACAGAAGAAATAGTGAACCCTTTGAAGCTGGACCTTCTAACACCCAGCGTAGATGAACCTGAAAACTTGCTGCTCCCACCAGAATTCCGAAACGAAAATGATTCCCTCAACAACGTGTTAAGAAGGAAAAGACGGGAAGTGGAATCGGTTATTGAGTCTCAAGAAGTGGAAAAAGGGGGAATCAAAAGACGGATAACTGTTATGGTAATTACTATTCACGTGTAAACATACTTGGTCTATATTCAAGAATTTCGTGATAATGTTTTTTTGTTATTAATATTATTTTGTTCATTTTGCAGGACTGTAAAGGATCGGCCAGATGCGTAGACATTGAGTGTCTAATCGGGGGCCTTAAGAAGCAGATGCAAGTGTATGTGGAAATAAAGTCGCGAATCTGGAATGCAACGTTGGTTGAAGACTACAGTAATGTCGATTGGGTACAAATCAATTCCCATGCTCAAGTGGAAATATTGGATAAAACATTCATCACTAAGCCCGAGCAAATATTTGGGTTTTCAGTAAGTGAAATTTATTGAATTCCTCAATTTGCAATGAATCGGATTTAACACATTTTCATCAATATTGATTGAAACTTTACACATTAAAAAAACAAGTTTTAATTCTAAATTAATCTGCTTCTGCCAAAACGCGCTTCTTTACGTTTCAAAACGAAAGCTGCAGCCATTAAGTTAACCATTGCTTTATCGAACTGTTTATAAACATTGTCTAATCAATAACAGCAAATAGTAACTTTTATCTCGATGAATATTTTCCAAATATCAAAAATTCTATGCATTTTTCAGGCGGAAACGTTAGTTTATCCCGAAATCATCCCGTCGTACTCAAAAATCAATTGGTGGATAATTGGAGGAGCCGTCCTAGCTGGTGTTTTACTCCTTATTCTCCTAGTGGCGATACTGCACAAATGTGGCTTTTTCAAACGAAAACGAGCAAAAGATCAAACGCTTTCGGGTAATTTACAAAAAAGTAGTGAAGAAAGTCACACATTAATCAAACCAAACTGAACCGATTTGTGACTGTTGATTTGTGATTGGCGTTATGAGAGGCTTTTTTGCCATTGATGTTACTTGTCCCATTTAAAATCTTCCAATCGAAGCAGTTGGAGATAAATTTTGAACCGAAGAAGTTAAATGAACAGAAAGTTACAGTTTTATTGAAACTGATAAAAACAATTGAGAGCAAGTGCGATTTTAGATTTGATGGTTTACTCTGTCTCGATTAACGTCGAAAAATATGCGTTATTAGAGATTTGCCCAGTTGGTTCGAAAAATAAACGATTTTTCAAATCACCAGGGTAAAACCATTGTGATTTTTATATTGTCCGATTACAGTAGAATAGTTTTAATAAATTGTCGTTCAAAATACACTCGAAGTTGAATTATTTTAAATTATCAGTCGCAAGTTATGCGCGTTCTGTTACAGTATGAGTAAAGAAAAATTACCACATTATTTTTCAGTCGTTTATATGCGTGTAAACTTTTCTTAATATTTTTATAAACTACTGCTTGACAAAACTCTAGTAAATGGTTGTAAATTTTTCTTTACTGTATACAAACAAGTCACTATTGAAATCATTGTTAAAATTGTGATAGACTTCGAAACTATACAATTATTTAAAGTATTTATTTGTTGTTTAGATATAGGTATCTGGTGCTGCTATTATTATTCTGTATTGATTGCTACGTTTAGGTACTTAAGACTTATTGTAAAAAGTTATATTGTATGTTAATGTATTTAAATAATTAGAATATATAAATGTACTTAATTTTAAGCCTAAACAATGATTGTTTTTCAAGTAGTTATACAAAAAGTTGTGTTCAATGAAAGACTTGTTCCTTTAAGAGTAAGAGGTTAATTATGTTGGCAAGTTCAGTTTATTAATCAAAATCGAAATACAAATTTACATTTTTTTGTTGAATTGCCATTAAAATTCACTAAAGGATCCAGGTGATTTCTAAATGTGTAACTGTTGTATATATTTACTTGTAAATAGCTCCTATTATGGTCGAAGTGATAAAACCTCTCAATGTTAGTTAAATGTAAGTATAATGAAATAAATTTGTACATACTATAGCAGTTCCGTTTCATTTCAAATGAGCCCAAAAAGCTCAAGCATTTTGGATAACTTTTCCAATGGCAATATTTTGAATTTGATGTCATTAATAAGTGATTCATTAAAATGAAAAATCAAATATAAAAAAATTGATACTGAACTTACGTTTGATCCAGCCTAATCCAAGCCATTAGATTAAGAAAATGTGGGTTTTATTCGCCAATGAGTCACAGTATACATAAACAGTTCATGTAAAAAAGTACCTCGGTCATGGATAACAAGAAATACTCGGAAGTCATGAAGTGGAGGAAGACCAGGAAGTGAATACTATCTGTTACTCAAATGTATATTTGCTTTATCTTTATAAGTTTTATTGAGGTGTAATTAGCAAATTCGGTACTTTTAGCAACGATATAGATAATGCAAATTAAACCCAATAGAAAAAACAAATTGACTCATTCGAAAATGTCCGAAAATAGAAAAATGCAATTTTCGTTTCACGTATTAACGATGGGTTTTAGTTTGTATGATTCATGTTTACATTTCTTGGGCGATTTGTTGCTCAATTTTTGATCGCCTTTTTTCATCATGGTAAGACTTTCCGACTTTAACTGTAAAATATGAGTCAAAAAGTACGGTAAGAAGTTAAGAAATATCGAAAATAAAGACCAACAATTGCCTCCAGATAAAAGACGCGCATTTTTGTCACCCTGTGATAATAAATCATTAGCGCAATGGTAGTAGTATTCCGAAATGTTTTTATTAAAAAATTTCCATGTTTTATTAATCCCAGATATATTAAAGGATCAGCCCAAATTTAGACCATTTATATCTAAAAATAATTGATTTTTTCCTATTTTGGCAACAAAAATGCGTTTTGGCCAAAAACACACAATTTGCGGTTTAAAATCCCAACGGATTAATGCTGATCATAAAATTTATCTATTGCTGTACTTTTTATCAAAATACGAAAATTGTTACTCGATATGGGTATTCATATCCTTACGAACGTCTTATTGAGAAACAAACAGTATAAAAACACAGACGCATTTTCAAAATGTCCAAGACAGTGTTTGGCTGGCGTTTGAAGTACTTCGATATTTAGTTGACTCCAAAATTTTTGTTTTTGAAAAATGTTTGGGCGAGTTTGGAAATTGGTTGCCCTCCTGATTCTTATGAATGGTAAGTAATCTAATCAATTTTACAGTAAACAAACAAAACTATTTCCATTATTTTAAGTTGTTCTTTGAATTTACTCGAAAGATTCAATTTAAATATTAATCGAATAAAATATATAACAGTTTTTAACAGAATTTTATAAAATAAATTCGCAATTATTCAAAGATTTCTTATCCAGAACATATTTTTTTGTGTACATTCTCAGCATAAATGTTTTTGTCCGATTTATTGCAGTTTGTCAAATGGTTTTCGCCGAAACCTTCTGCCTAAATTATCATTTGAACGCTTTTGGCGAAGATTGTTCTACCAAGGAGTCAATACGCACATCCGCATGCTATTCAGGACAACTTTGTTTTCATATTCGAAACGGGTCGGTGCATTCCGATCTTGGAATCAGAAATTTGGGATTCAGAATGGTCAACCGAAAACAAACCGATTTTCTCTCTCAACTGTTCGCTAAAAGTAATCAAAATTGAGTGCGTGATGCCAAAAATTCCAAACAAAATAGTTTCCTGTAAATAATATTATCTTTTAAGTGATAGAAGATTTTTTGCCTAAACTCAGTATTAAATGTTAACGGTGATCTCTGTGAATGAAGCTCAATGGCTAAGGTTTTATTGGTATTTACTTATTAATTGTATTTATTAGTATTAATTGTCAAGTTGGATGTTTTGCAATTTTATTTTGTTTATTATTTATGTACCTAACAAGTATAGAAATATATTTTGGAAATTATAATAATAAATGCTTGCTTATTTAATTTGAGTATGGTTTGTCCTGTTTCAGTGTTTTGAATAATACATAAAGTGAGTCACAACCGGCGTATTTTCCTCAAAAAAAAACCGTTGCATAAGAAGTTTAGTTTGAAAATGTGAATCCTTTTCGCGTTCTCCGGCTCTGAACTGAAATAATTGCCATAATGATAACAAATAAAAACAAAAATAAGTATGTTAAAAATATAGAATATTTATATCCCGTTTCTGTTCTGATCGATTAGTGGAGAATTACTAATTTCAACAATGGAAAGCTTCTATAAAAAATATGTATTTTTATTCGGAACAACCAGTTTTTGATAACAATAAGTAATCAATTGACTATACCTAACTTATTTTAAACGACTAAAACGAATATAAATAAAAAGTTAAACATATTGAGTGGAAATCGCTAATAGTAATAAAATAATGAATATAAATAAGAAACATAGTTAAATATTCACAAATAATCGGTAGGAAATGGCTTTGTTTCATTCGGTTCTTCTTCGACATCAACAATTCTCATTTGATTCATCAACTTTGGTGGTGATTTTAATATAAAACTTTGCTGGTCTGTTGATACAGGCTGTTTATCTGATTCTAAAAAAATATTTTTTACATTACGATCGGCAAATGTTTTTCAAAATTGTTCTTTTTTATTTAAAAAAAATCCAAAAACTGTGAGTTTTCCTAATAATAAATAGGTTGAAGCCTAAACTGCACGATAGCCAAACTTATTTACATATTTTAATGTAGTTAGTCAAATACGTTTACTATTTTGTATGGTGGGCGGTTAACAATTGAAGAACTACACAATAAAGGAAAAGGATTGAGGAAAAAAATATAATTAATTCTTAAAAACGAAATAAAACTAAAAAGCGGTTGAATGTTAAAGCGAAGTTACTAGCAGAATGTATTTTAAATACTATGTCTTTTATTGAAAAGTTCAAGCTTTAAGGTCAATCGAAATCGAGTTTAATCGAACAATTAGTTTCATTTTCTCTGGCAAAAAAACAGTAAGCTTATGGACGATGAATAATAAATGATGAAAAGAAAAATGGAAAAAATTCCATTAAAAATATAAACTGTTTTGTTTTTGAAACGTTTTTTGAACACAATTTTATAAAACATTTCACCTCAACTTCACGCTGACTTTGCAAGAAAATGTCCTGCATATTATTTGATTAAGCGTCAATTAATCAATTCAAGCATCTCTAAATAAAATTTAATTTGCTTTTTGCATTATGCGGTTTCTTTGAACCAACGCAAACCGTCATTATCTAATTTTGCTGGTCTTTTTTTTTAAATAACTTCCGCTAATAAGTACTGTTGAGTTTGCCAATAGAAAATTTCGTCTTAAGCAATGTTCTTGTGGATTAAAGATGTGTTAAAATAAAGTTGCATGTATTAGCATAAAAAACTCGTACCTGGCATATCTCGAATTCTGTAAAATTCCGCCAAATCCGATCCAGAACACAAAGGCGTATCCACCGATAAAGTATTGTCGAATTTGGAGTAATTCACCTCGTATCCCTGCCTGTCCTTATTATAAGACACCACAGGCTCAAATCGATGCCCCCAGAGAACCTCGCTGGCCAAATAACTGGATCTGGCTTGAGTGGTTTGACCTGTGCTTTCTATTGTACCTACACAGAGAGAATAAACGAATTTAACACAAATAGGTTAAGAAAAGGGCAAGTTTTAGATCCTGCTAGAATTAATACATCGAATTATTTAGGAGATTAAAAATTCTTCATACCTTCTAAAATGACTACAATCTCGAAACGTTCTTGCAACAAATCACCAGCAGACAACTGATAAAACGGCGACTGTACATCGATTTTATGGACAATAGTCATAGGCCAGATGAAAAACAAATTTCCATCACACCCGTCTGCGTTCACACTCAATTCGGTTTGAAAGTTGTTTAAAATCTACCATGAAACATTATTAGAAAATTATTACTGATTACTCAACACACCCACTTCTCCTTCCTTGGTTTTCTTGGACCGGATAAGCTGAGCTCGAATGCTAGCTCCAATAATGTGACTCTTTCGCATATCTCCCACACGGAACATCAGGCACAATTGCCCATCCCTTTGGCAAATTACTGAGTTCTTTGAGAACTGCAATGTTTGCGTTCTGAGTTTGGGACGCGTCATTTTTGCAAAAACGATACCCACCTTAAATCACATCTTTTATCAATATTCATTTCTCATGCCATGTATTACATAGTTCCATTCTCATCAAAAAACTTTTTTGGGTTTTTTTAAACTGTCGACACTTACCATAAAAGCTTGTATAATCATGCCAGCAATACTTTGCAAACACATAATAAAGACGGCTTCCGGACATTCTTCGGTGGTAGTTCGAACACCATAACCGATAGTATGCTGGGTCTCAATGGAGAAGAGGAAGCAGGAAGTGAATCCATGAATGTTCAAGACACACGGTGTCCATTCTGAGTCAGCTTGACTATTTGGAAGATGAGCGTCTTCCAAGTCACCATGGGTGAAAGCGATCAGCCACCAGATGAGGGCAAACAAAAGCCAAGAGCCTGGAAAACGATGGTTTTATCCACACCATAAGTGGTTGTTGCTGAGTGGGCACAGCGTACCTACAAAACCGATGGCGAAGATGGTAAGAGTCCATCTCCATTGCGAGTCGACTAACGTGGTAAAAATATCCTGCAAATAGCGCAATCGTCTCTTTGAGATTCTGGACTGCAGGATGTTGCAGTCTCCGTTCTTGAACACGGCCCGTCTTCGCATTTTTCGTATTGCATTGGGTCTGAATGATTTCCTGCAAAAAATATCAGTCAACATAAACCGTCAACAAGGCCCTGGTTTGCTTCATTCAGAAAAGGATTCTTTAGAATTGGATGGAATAAGATTTTATCGTGAATTTGAATTGAATGAATGAAAAAATTGAGTTACGCGATGATTGCGTTAAATAGTTTGAACATTTTCTAAAATCACGGTTCAAATAGTTTGAAGCATTGAGCAGCTTTTAAGGACATAAAGTTTTGTTCTTTGTATGATTTGCCGTTTTTGAAACGAACAGTTTTTATGGCTTTGTTAAACCTATTCATCATAATTGATCGAAGATCAAGTTAATTATTATAGGGATGCGAAAGTTTTTAGAAATTTCAGTTGCTATATTTCAAGAAAATTAATGCTTTATTCTGAATTTTTTTCCTAATTAGTTTACTTGATTCTAGTGATATTGCACACGTTACTCTCACCTACTGTGTAAATTCAAAAGTTGCAGCTATTTTTTTCCAATTTTTTACCTACATTAACAGAATGTCTCAGGCACAATTTTGCTTAGTTGAACGTCTGGCAATTCCGTTTTGTTCAAATAAAAGTGTTTTTCGTTCAGACCAAGTGATAATGTCTCTTATCTAATTCAACTTGGATTCGGATATCACTGGTTTATGGAATCGAATCCAACTTTTGTTCAATAAATCTCGAGTATTAAATGTAATAAAATTTAATCCGTTATATCCATGCAACTATTTAATTATGCTGACACATTCTTCGTAGAAAATGTATTTTTGGTTCTAACAACCTGGTTTGCTCGAAATCTTACACCGTACTGACGGCTAACTTTCGAGCAAACCACCTCTGAAGATGCATGCCACTTGTGCTTGCGAAACGTCAAGCAGTATTTTTTTCAACGGCGGCCTAAAAGCCCGAAAATCTCACCAAGTTTCAAGTGATAGGTGCGAAATCCCACCCAACCTCCCAAAACCCAAATCTTACTGAATCCTCATACAAACTTAAATGGGCACCAAATATTTTAAGCATAAAATATATTTCAAAAAACCAAGGAAATCTAAGTAGTTTCGATGTTGAATTATATAAAATAATCACTGAAATCTACCTTAGTGACTTAAAGCCTACGCTGCCTATTTTCTGAAATAAAATTAACATTGAACATTTGAAGGCCTCTAAATAGCGACCTGATGGTTACACACATGCAAAAATCTGTATTTGCTGTGCTGAAAATTTCCACTTTTTACTTGAACAGCGAAACGTTATACGATCTCGACTTAATCTCTAAATCGCACCATAAATTTGCACAAATCACTATTTACCTCGTCTCGTTTAAAAAATATTAAAATCAATAGCCAATTAATACCGTTTCACTATAACACAAAAATATAGCACAATCACTAGTCCCATGTAGTCTAACTGGTTCTATTTATTCACATTGGAGCTGCATTAACGACAACGTTCTCAATTACCTCGAATAAAAACTGAAAAACTGCTAATTGGGATGATTAAAATTGTTTTTGATGTAATCACAGTTTTATCTACTTTTCTGATAGGATTATAATAAGGTAATCGACTGTGAACTGAACATGAGAAAAATGTAATTAAATAGATTTCTGATTGTTTAGTAAATATTTAATTAGGAAGCTGGGAGTTTCATGACCTAAAACCGCAAAAGTGGTACTAATAAGTGAGTACTCATTTTTTAATGGTTTAGTCAAGTTTAGAAAATTCTTTACTTGTTACGAGTCTCTTTCTGAAACTGTGAAATTAGCAAAATTTAAAGAGATTTGGAAATCCAGGTAGTACCGAGTCACTCACAATCACAAAAGTTATATTTAAAAGTCTAAGGAAAATTCAAAAATATGTAGCTCATAAATCTAATTTTAATTAAATAATATAAGTATATGAAGTTATACCTTTTAATTTTTTTAACGATATCCATAATCCAATACATACTGGCAGAAATATTGGTAATTTTCAATGAAGTTGTGAGGCTAACGACGCAACATTGTTACCCAAAGAAAGCGCAAAAGCACTTTGCAACTAAAATTTGCAACAAATATCATAAAATTATACATACAGGAAACAATTAAAATTATGCTGCCGAGATTCAATTGCCTTTCAGTTGTTTGCACTCACTTTTATGATCGATTTATTACCTTGTGTGCTTTTAAAATTTCTTAAAAAAAGTAAACATTTAAAATTGTAATTTATTTCGATATTTTCACATTTTATTGAGCAAATATCTGACGTTCAGTAAAGATCATGTGTTATCTTAAGCTTGTCGCTAGCAGAAGAGTAAAGCAGCTTGTTTTTTTAACAATTAGGCCGTTTTATCCTAAGGGAAGACAAATGAAATAAGTCAAGCAAAGCACTTTTACCAACTTTCTATATCAAAAGGTATTTCTCTTGTTTTATTTTAACAAAAATGAACGCATTTTTAAGATTTGCTGACTATAAGTAGATGCTCTAAGTACTATAGTAGGTACATATTTCAATCAATTTTGAGTGCAATATTACAAGTAGACAGTACGTAGATATTGTGAAACAATCCACACTACTCAATGAAAATAATTACAATTCACTTGTTACTCAATTTATATAATGTATTATTTATTGCTTAAGTATCCAGGTTTAATTAAGTTGAAAACTGCACACAGAGTTGAAGTGAATACAAGTGGAAAATTGCGGTTATTTCAACAAAACAGCTACTATCTAGGTTGTAAGCTACTATTGAAATGCTGATAAGATGAAAGTAGTTCTTATCATTGTGTTGTATACCAGTTTAGGTGTAAGAATGACAATGGCCTGATTTTGGTGATAAATGTTTATTTTCAAGGTTCTCTTTGAAGACAAAGGTTTGAAAACGGAAGAATATTAAATTCGTCAAAAACTAATTACATTTTGAACTTTTTAATTGTATGTAAATGATTACTTTAACATTTCAAAGAAATACAGTTTGGTGTTTCGTAACCAGCTGAACTATTTCCAAAGTTTCAACCTTCTATGTACCACTCAAATTGTCTTCATTTCTTCCATTTGTAGAGATTAATTTTCAAGAAATCCAAGTTTGTTCAAGCTTTTGCTTCCAACTCAAACCGTTGCTTCTTTTTCGTTGTACTCAAGTACACTTTTACATTTGTTCATGTACAAGTTCGGAAGAGTTTGCGTGGTTTAATTTGCTGGCTAATTTTACAATCCTCAAGCGAAATTTGCAAAAAAAGAGCACGAAAATAATGTAATTTAAAGTGTTATTATTTAATATTATTGGCATTTAAAATTGTAAAATACCTGCTAGGTGAACTGGAATATGAAAAAGTGGGTTTGCCATAATAGTAAACTCCTGGTGTGAGTTCCCCATTTGGAGATTTAGGTGAACTCCTTTCAGTATCGAGCAAAAATCTCTTATCATACGCCTGCTCCATTTCGGCAAATTTTTTTGGGTTCCACTCCACATTCATTTTAATTTGTCACTCTGGTCGAAACGTTACAATCTTACGCGAACTGAACGGTTTTTTGGAAAATATTGGCCTTTATAAAACTTGTCAAGGCATCATAAATTTGCACTCGTATGTTAACGACAATTAATTTGTCAATAGCAGTCATCATTAGTTAGCACTTGAATGTTTTCATTCGATCCATGTAGCTTGATGGCGGAAAGAAAACTGAAGATTTTTGGAATTTTCAACTTCTACAAGTGCTATATATAACATGACAACGGTTATCTTTGATTTATCATCAGATTTTCCATTTATTTACTTGTAATTATAATGTGATCGAGCGTCAGACGCTCCGTTACCTGTGATTACTGGATAAAACTGCCCCTGATATGCAAATAGCAACTGTAACTTCATATATGCAAAGTATTTATTTACCCATTTACTACTCAACATAACAATATGATTGAACACTTGTTTAGGCAAAAAAGGCTGATCAATTTTGAGTGAAAATTTTTTCACATGTGTTTTTTATTTGGGTATGTTAATATTTTCTCGGCCTTTTTATCATTATTATCCATCTCACTAGATTGCCGCCTGCTTAAATCTTCCGTATGATATTCCTTAAAATTCGTTGATCCAGTTCAAATTGCTTATTTTGTCTCTTTAAAATTCACTTTTTTTCTCAGTCAATCATTTCAATTCAATTCAAATTATCTTTCAGCACTATTATATCATATAAAATTTAAGTGTTAGATCACAAGCTCGATTTTTGCGATGAGAGTCACATGCATAACTGATGCGAGCTGATTTAATGGAATTTTTGGTGCTGTTTAATTTATTAAATCAGTCTTAAAATTGTTGAATCTTCTAATCGACTATTAAGCTGAAAAGTGTGCGCATTCCACTTGATTTTTTGAATCAGTTTTTTCTCTGTTGAATAACTTGTAAAGAAAAAAAGAAAATAAAATACATTAAATAATATATTTACTCCGGAGTTTCATAAAAAAAATCATGATTCGTCATGATGATGATGATGATTAAATTATTTTTAAATATTTTTTGAAGATGAAGCTTATAGGGTAATGTAGAAAGACTAATTGATTCAAAAAGAAACGTAAGTTTTTAAATGAAAGTATTTGATACTGCTATTTAATTTTTTATACTGACTGACCATTTTTTTTTGTTTTTTTCCAGAGCGGTGTATGTATAAATCCCGTTCACCCCGTTAAATGTATTTCCTGTAAATCGACATGCCTGCTCTATTTTTGATTAGGGAAAACCTAACAATAATTATTGTAGAAGGATTTGGAAGGAAACCCCGAAAAAATTTCCAAAACCTTCTTTCGTTCAAGTTCAAAGTTCAAGGTAGACATCTAAGAGCTTACTATATACTGGAAAATTAATCAATATACTTACATAAAACGTTGCAAACCAAATTTGAATATTTTTCCCATTAGATTGAGTCCATATTCCTAGATTCGAGAAATCGGTTGGATGTGAGGGAGCAGAAAAATATTCCTGTTTCCACTCACACTTTTTCAGAATTCACCCCTTAATCTTCGCTTAACTATTCTTTTACTCAACCAAATTTTTTTTATACCTAATCAAATGCCTCATTGTTTTTAAGCAGAAGAAGTCGATCAATATAATCCAACAGAGCAAAAAATCAATTTCCTCACCTTGATTCATCTGTTCGCTGAATTCCGTTATACAAAGAGCCATCGCAGGTTGACGCTTTGGCCAGGCTTGCTTCAGTTCCGACCTTAGCTAATCTTTGACCAAATTCAAAGGGGTTTTCATCCGGAGCATTTGGATTGATTTCGCCGAAAGCTGGCAAATCTGGAGTACTGGAACCGATCCGAAATCTGGACGAAATCCATTTCGAATTATTATTGTTCACCATCGGTGTGCCCTCTTCTTGGATGTTGTCCTGTCGATGGATTGTCTTTGCCATGGCTTGAGACTCGGTTCCTTTCAGTGATGGTAAATATCATGTTAGCTGAAAGGAATCTTCAAGTTAGCAGAACACTAACATTGCAACCATTCACTTTGATGTTGACTACAGTTACATTAGTTTTACTTCATAATACTTGATGGGATTAAAGAACGACTAAAGCAGTCGCACTGTCTCACAGCAGAATTGGCTCAATAAAATTAAATCTCAACACCAATTGCTTACGTCGTCACTTACAATCATTTTAAAACCCACACCGGCCATATTCAAATCGACACTACAAGCGACACTAACCAATTGTGCTAACACTTATTTGAACATCGTATTAATCTATTGTGTTGACCCTCACCCAGCTTTTTCCTAACGACTTAACAACTGCATCAAGTCCATTTCCTTCATCATTTACATTAGCTATTTTCTGGACGTTTTTCGCAAATTTTGGCAAATTGTCGCTACGTGTTTGCATTGACTCAAATTGATAATTGCTGAATTATTATCACTTTGATGGTTTTTTACGTAACCACAAGTGGCTAAACCCGGAAACGTACAGCGTTGAACGTCTTGGAATGTTTTTGGAGCAATTGTCTAATTAAATAATACAGTCTAATGCCAAGTAGTTTCCTTACAAAAAATATGCTAAGTTGGGTATTCGTTAAAGCTATTGACTAGAGTTTAATAATAGTCTTCTCTCAAATCGAAGAAATAATAAAAATAATATTCAAAATTTAATGGTTAGTCAGATTACCAGCAATTTGAAACTTACAAATTGACCCCAAAGAAATTTTCAATTAGATTGTCAGAATTGTCAATCAAAAATTAATCGGTTAATCAGAATTTGGTAAAAAAAACATTTTATGATTGTACAAACCGCAAAATTCATTAGCGTGCTAAAAAATTGCTGTCGCAATGTAATTTATTATATTTTGTACTCAACCTGGGTTGTAACATCACGACCTCAAATAGTTTCAACACAACAGCTTGAGCATCAATTTTTGAGTTTTGATGAACATTAATCCGCTGCACCTAAACACAACAGCACCTCAATGCAAACGTATGTTCATTTGATAGCCAAACGAGTTTTTATTGGACGATTATTCAATTTAGATTAATAGTGATTGGCTTTAAAGTAGCAGCATTAACATTGCTTATCTGGAAATGGAAATTGTAGGATATGAATCAATTATTAATATCCTCCTTTATCGCATGCTTGAAAGTAACATAAGAAGACAATTAAGAAAACTATATGCAATTCGTAGGTATATGTTAAACTACACACTCAATCTGTTGAAATTATATCATTTCATAGGCTAAGGAAGTTTGTCATAAACAGATACTATGCTGTTCTGAGGGGTACAACTATATTTGGACCACCGAGCAAATTAAACATTTTGGTCCTTCGAACCGGACCAGATACCGCACCAAATGGCAGGCCGATGTTAATTTTTGAGCGTTTAATTGTATATATTGGGGTACAAATCCTTCAGAAGAATAATACTCGTCTACAGCTGGGTTTTCAACTGCAAATCATTTCTTAGTTGCCCACATGGCAGCGATTTTATTTTAAACATACGCACGCATTTGAGATAACAAGCAATTTAAGCACAGTCTAGTAGATGTTGGCCATTAAAATCTTTAAACATGGTTGTGGCTGATCCAAAGCTCATAATAAAACAGGTTCGAAAAAAATTTGCCGTAAAAAAAATTGTGAAAGAAAAAACACAAATACAAAAAATCTCTCATTATTTGCGAAAAAGGTTCAAACAGTCTTACAAAACAGATAAAAATGGCACAAATGTTTCGGCCAGAAGTAAAATTAAAAAATGTCTAGTCCTTCAAAAGCCATTTTTTTCAATTTTATTTTAAAGAAAAGGGCATATTTTAATTGTACGTATGATGTAAAATTAACTCGCGCATCATACCTATTGATTTTCAAAGAAATATAAATAGCTGTTCCGATAAAAGTGTCACTTAATTTTTAAATAATGACTGCAGAAAACGTTACTGTACGGATAGTTTGAGAAACGATGATGATTTTTTAAATAATTTTGTAATAATTTAACCGAGCAACATTCACTATGAAAAAGATAAAATAACGCAACTAAAATAACCCATAAGTTCTTAAGAAGACAATTTATTGTCAGTGGATTTTACCTGCAGAAAAGCGTATCTGGAAAACGTTTGGCGAGAAAAAGTGCCTTAAGGCAAAAGTTGAGAATAAGAACAGAATATAGAATTTGTTCTGCTAAATAATTTAAACCATAAATTTGAAAATAGACTGTAATAAATAATTTTTCAAGCTTTTTTAAAGCTAAAAAACCACTTAAGTGATGGCTCTTATTTAATAACAGTTTGAACTCTGCTGGGGTGCTGAAATCCCGCCAATAAAGTGTAAATTTGTTAGAAGTTAGATCACTGATAAAAAACTGAACAATGTAAATTCTGTTTTTTCACCAAGCTTTAATTAAAATTAATTAAATGAAAAATATGTGGCATTCTCTTTGAAAAGTTTGCTGTCTAGTTCTACCATATTATTTAATTTATTATGCGCAATAACCTTTGTTCATTAATAATAATTGAAATATTATCAACCTATCGGTAGGTTTGGCGACTACTTACCACGTGTCTTTCACAAATTGTAACATGTTTCTTTGCACACTCTTTTAACTCAATAAAAAACGGCTGCAATGTGTCCACAGACAGAAAAATGTGTGTTTTAACTGATATGAATCGTGAAAAATATTCTAAAATCCTTATCTGAGCAAATATGGATTAGATGAAATACACGCGATGATATCTTAGAAACCACCAGGTGTCTGTTCGCGGTTTTACGTTTGGTTTATGTGAGATGGTAGGAATTTGTATATATTAATTACCCATCGATATTAAAATCTGTTGCTTGCTTAAATGAATATCATAAAATCATTGCATTTTTCGGTCATCATGAGTATTTGCCACAAAAGTAATATTTTCAATGCTCAGGTTTCAACACCATAGTTTCAATCAAGGTTTAATCGAAAAAAATTAACATTCGATTTTTGCATCATTTCGGTATTAATTGATCAGAAGAACTCGATTTTTACAGTAAAATTATACTATGTAACGACTCTTTGTACAACTTAGGGTAAACTAATACTATTAAAAGTCCGAAATTCGCTGCATTGCAGACACAACGTGATTAAATGCTATAGAATAGATTGAAAAGCTTTAAAATGCACAGTTTCGCATTTGCCTGGTTATACTTTTGTTTAATGATTTTCTGAAAGGTGAGACTAGTATAAAAATCAATACAAATTAAATTTACATCAAATATAATAGTTTCCTGCAACTTGGATGTTTTCTCATTCACGCAGCCGAAGCGCAACATTTTTTTTGCCATTCATAGAAACAAGGTTTCTGAAGCAAAAAACACCATTTAGATACATTTTTGTAAAATATCAGATTCCAGCATCAAAGTCGTCTGGATAGGTAGGAATGTAAATTCAATTGGTAATAGTAAGCAAGCTCGTACTAAAACATGTATATTTCTTCCAGTAGCTAAAGGAGATGATGGACGCAGAGGAATGGATTTTCAATTTCCTACCAGCCCTAACGATGGATACACATTCCTTATATTTTGATATATTTTCCTACACCTCGTCCTCCAGCTCCTGCACCACCTTCACCACCATTTGGCCCTCCTGGTTAAGGACCGCCAGGTTATTATGATGACTTTCCGCCTGATCCTCATCCACTTGCACCTACCGATAACACTTGTAATCAAAGAACTATACAAAGATGCAAAGCCCCATTCGATTTTTGCCCAAACTGCAATGAGACCATTTCTGGCTAGCAAATGTTTATATTGAAATTTGAAGAACACTAGTGTCTCTCTTTGCATGTTATTGAATAAATTAATAATGCGTTTAAATGTAAGTTGTTTTTTCAAAATATTATGTTCGATTCGATTATCGGTATCAAGTTGTTTTATTTATATACTTTTTTATTTCAACAGCAAAATTTGAAATGGCAAAACTATCACAAGTCGATAAAACGATATTTTGGAAATTCCTAAACCATTCAGTACTGGATAATAAATTATTGCGTTGTGAATTCATATCGGGTTGACATTGTTTATATTATATAAGCTCTAGGGTCAACCAATGCTATAAGAAGTCAGATTTGCTTTATTTCGGACATAATAAAAAAGTGATTAGATGCGCTCGAATACAGTGTAAAACGTTCAAAATGCGCAGTTTAATATTTTCCCAATTTTTCATTGGGCTGCTGATTTACTCAAAGGTGAGGCAAGAAAAACAAATACAACTTAAACGTTTATTAAGTCCATTACAAAAAAAATTAAATATGTTTCACTTGTTGTCTATCTTATCTTCTGGCTTAAGCTATTTCTTGAGAATTTTTCGTTATTCTCTTCTGGATAACTTTCTGGTTATTCAACGATAAATCAAACCACCTTTGTACTGATTCCATGACTCCATATGTATAAATCCAAGTCGTAATATTTTTTTCAAAAATCGTTTTTCAAAAAAGAAAACACCACCTAGTTTAATTTGGGTGTAATATCAGATTCCAGCATCATCACAAGAAAGCCTTCTCATCAGAATAGCTAGAAATGGAAACTCAATTGAAAACGGTAAGCAGATACTTAGACAGTAAATCGCAATTAAACTGGTATGTTTCCTTCAGCCACTGATGGAGACGATGGACGCAGAGTAAATCAGTTTCAACATTTGCCTAACCCATACGATGGATTTTATCCTATGCCTTTTTATCCGCCGCCTCCTCCTCCTCCACCATTCGGCCCTCCAGGTTTCGGACACCCACATCATCATTTTGGTTCCTTTCCTCCTCCACCTCCTCGTCCAATAAACCATTGCAACTGCAATCGAACTACTGCACAAGAAGGCGCAAATGAGGACAGAAACACCAATACTAATGGAACTTTTACAGAGCTTCCTGTAAATGGTACATCTGGTAACAATGGAACAGAATGGGGTTCGGAGCTCTATCCCTTGAGGGAAGGCGAACCTGCTGATCCAGAAGTCGCGCGTTTTCAAAACGCTTGATGTTATCAACAGCAAGAAACAATGTTTTAACAGCAAGAAACAATGATGATTTTATATGAATTTATACAAAAATTTGTAAACAGAATCCATGTGTTTTTTTGTATGAAATACAGCCTAAGAACAGATTGAAATTGTCAGCCTGCAATTTTATCCAACCACCTACTTGCACTATGACTACAGTAATTTTGTACTGAACAGGCAAACTTGTCTCGATATTTTTAAAATATGTATGTTTTTTAATGCCGAAATTATCAATCTAGAAATCCAGATATTGAAAAAATTTATAAAGGTGTGCCTGTTTTTCATGGTTAATGAAAGAACGGAAAACGCTCAAACTTTTCAAACAATTGGAGCTGAATTGGTTCAGCTAGCCAATCTCAGAAAATCCTTTTTTAGGCCTTTATCAAAGTAATTTTCATAATAAATCAACACTTACAATAGATTTGCTACATTAAATTGCTCTTCCAGGCTTCAAGGTCGGCCTCAGTTCTCGTTGCTGTCTTGGATAAGCCTAATTACTTTTTCAAATGTATTCTTCAAAATATTCACATTTTCTTTCAGTTGCATTAATATTTTAAACTTATGGGTATCAAAGGCCCATGTAAGTAATCCATAGGGCAACAGATTTCCGATTTTTCCTTGAACCCTGGTGAATATCAATTGATTAACACTTCATTAGCTCGTTCAGTTTCATCGGCGATCTTTACAAAATCGAATTTATCAACCATTGCACTTAAAAAATTGAAGATTTTTTACGTTATAAACGGCAAAATACGGTGTATTAATGCATTTGAACTACTTATAATGTAAAAAAGCCAACAAAATTGAAAAACTGACTAAAGTGAGCCTAAATTTTAAGTCGTTTTAGATAGAACTGAATTTAATGGAAGGATATCAATAAAATTACAAATACAATTTGCTTATTTTTAGACTAACAAAAATGGTGATTCTTTTGTCCTTAATGAAGCAATTTCTTTATTTGCTATTTTTAAATCTTTTGTTGGCCACTCAGCCTCAAATTGGCAGATTATCGTAGTTATTCTATCAAAGCGGTGAAATTTTCAGATGGTTTGAAGCTTTGAAGATTTACGGCGGCAACTCGTTTCAAGCGCAAATATTTACTCGATATACACTCACTGCCCACGACAATGAGTGCAAGTTTATGAGTGCAAAGGTAATTTCCTCAAAATTGGAGGATGTAGTTGTTAGTCAATTAATATTTTATAATATAAAAGTTTTACATCAGAAACATTCAGTGCGCATTGAAATAGTGATGAGACCATGACTATCTGGGATGTTGAGTGGTTTTCTCAAAAAGCTGAGCAGGCACGCAGGTAAAGCGAGAATTTACGCAGGTAAATCAACTGGAGAAATAAAATATAATATTTTACTAGAAAAACATGGATCCCGTGGAAATCCCGAAAATGTCCAAAGCGAGCGATTTTGAAAGATGGACACAAAAACGTCTACAGGAAAAATATTTCCAAGATTCGATGGTGGAGATATTTGCAAGATATCTTCACAACCCTGTTGGACGCCCAATGGAGGTGGACGCTCCAGTTCCTAGGTAAGCTCTAGCTTCGACCATCTGCTCAATAATGCGCGCGTTTTCAGTTCTAGAATTTTTCGGGTGCTGGCTGATCTTTGCGCTGGTTTGGTGGTTAATCGCCTTTGTGCATGGAGATTTACATGATGATCATTTACCGCTACGCCAAGCCGAAATCGGTAATAAAGCACTTAAATTATCAGCATAATATTCATATACAATCCATTCAGGTTGGACACCTTGCGTTCTCAATATCCACGGATTCCATTCTGCCTTCCTCTACTCAATAGAAACTCAGCACACCACAGGATATGGCCTAAGAGTAATTACAGAAGAATGTCCGGAGGCAATTTTCGTTCTGGTTTGCCAGTGCTTAATCGGCATAACTTTGGACTCATTTGCAATCAGTGCGTCATCCAAAACTCTATATAATTCACTTAGATAAATGAGAATTTTTTAGGTATAGTTTTTGCTAAATTGGTCCGCGCCAAGCACGCATCGCACACAGTTCAGTTTTCCAAAAATGCCGTTCTTTCTCACAGGAATGGAAAATTGTGCTTTATGTTCAGAGTTGGCGATATCAAGAAGAGTCGGCTGGCAGGGGTAGCAGTAAGAGCGATTGTTGTTAAGTGTGAGCGCTCGCAGGAAGGAGAAGTTCTTCAAAACTATCAAACAGGTAGCATAAATAACCAGTGGTAAACGCTTTGAGCGAAACAAGGCAGTTTGCCCAATGTGTGTGGTAGAAAGGGACAAAATGAGTTTCTGAAAAAGAGGATCAGTGTGTTAGAACCTGCGTCGTCTGTTTCTGCTGCACGCATTTATGTTTTTTCCTTGCTCCACTCGGGTCTCTTAATCGAGGCGCATTTCTGCGTTTCAGAATTATCTTTAAAGTGTGATGATGGACCCAGTAGTATTATTTTGTTATGGCCGTTAATTCTCTACCACGAAATCGACGAGAACTCCCCACTATACGACTTTACAGTGCCCGAAATAATGAAGTGCCAGAAAGTTGAAATAATTGTAGTCCTTAACGGAACGGTGGAAAGTACTGGTAAGTGCTCCTAAACCCCAAAAACTAATTTTCTCACATTGCCTTTGAAGGAGTTTCCATTGAGGCAAAATCCAGCTATTTATCAAGCGAAATTCTCTGGGATCATAAGTTTGCACCAATCATATCGTATAATAAATACGTGAATTGCTACGATGCCGATTGGGAGAAATTCGATCAAACCTACGCTCTAAAGATGAACCATGCGGAAGAAGACGAATATGTTTTAGAAAATCCAGGTGCAACTCCTTCAGGAACATTGGACGAAATTTGGTTATTACAAAGTCCTGTTTTAGAAACGAAACTGCTAGGGAGCCCTGATATGTTCGAAGCTGAGCTTGATGGCCAAACAGATCAGATTGGATCCACTTCTGAGCGATTTGGAGCTGTTCACGAAACGAGCAGATCAGTCGATACTAATACGTATTTTCCCGATTATGAGAAACCTTCCGGTCCCGATTGTTCCGACAAAGGCAAACATCGCGCAAATAAGCCCAAATACCCGGAAACTATCAGAGAAAGTGATGAAAACTATGAAGAAATGCATGAAATACAGGTCACTTTAGTTTGAACGCAATTTATCATGTGTTGTTGAATACATTTCTTACAATATAAAAGTTTAATACAGGGTGATAAATCAAAACGGGCGTTAATTCTTTGAATTGGATTGTCTGGGGTTGTTAAGGGTGTAGGAAATATATTTGAAGGAAGCACTTCTCACTAACAATGGAGACGTTTGCGAATTATAGATATTTTTTATATTGAAAAGTATAATTATAAAGAAAAGTTAGTTTATCTTAGCTACTCGCTAGCTAATCAAATTAGTCGACAAAGTTGGAATTTTGTAAATGGAAAAGTTTCTTCTACTCGGTTCATAGATTCGGCTTCGTTCCTACTTTTGAAAATAAACTTTTTATTTTGCGACATTGGAATTTGAGTTTCGAGTAATTTGGTGCACTAAAACCGGCCACTAAAACCAAACACTTGCAACATTTATCTTCATCCGCAAACTATTGTCGATCTCTAGATTTTGAGTTGAGTGTATTTTTTGTTTTTTCTGGTTAACATCGCTGGAGCAGCTGAAAATTGATAAGCAAGTGAACTAAAATCAATGAGTCTAGAATAATTTGCAATTGTCTATTGCATTGGTTTTGAATAATATATATAAGAAAATATATGAAATACAAGAAAGAGCACAATTAATAAAAATATATAAAAGTGTAAAAAAATACTTTGTGTATTGGACATATAACGAACTAGATAACCTTTTTTAAAAAAGCGTGCGATCGACTTTCGTTTTCCATAATCAGGAACAAGCCATACCTAAATTTACCATAGGCAGGAGCGGGTGTTTATTGTTGTCAAATACTAAAATCGTTAAATTGCCTGCTGATAATCAAGTATAAAAATAATCAGTTGGGTAGATATCATATCAATAAAGCATATTAGACCCAAATTCAACTCCTTTTAAAATAACATTATCATGAACACAGTAAGTAAACGCATATCTGGCAGAAAAACCTTCCGAGATGACTGTTTATCTTCAGTTAATTCTTTTTTCGTCCTTTGTCGGATTGGTCTGGTTGATTAAGGCCAGTCCGGTCGTTAGATATTATCTAAAGTTTTCTGCTTATTACGGGATAGTGATGGTGGGCTCATTGTTTTTAATACCAGTGTTCATTTTCCATCCGTTTAGTGTTCATAACTTTGTGTAAGTATTTATTCATGCATTCACTTAATTTCAGAAAAAGTTCATTATTTTCTAAGCGAGTTTATAAAAAAGCCGTTTTTTTATAAAATATAAAATTATTGAACAATTGTTGTATTATTGTTTCTAGTATAGGATCACACTGTTTCCGTTGGATCACCCATTTAATAGGAGTAAAGTGGATAATTCAAAATCCTGATTACTTGGAATCAGATGAACCATGCATTATTGTTTCGAATCATCAAAGTTCTTTAGATGTTTTAGGTATGCAAGTCTCTCTCTAAGTAGATGTATTAAAATTGAAAAAACATGTTTTGTAATACCAGGATTATTTCAAATATGGCCTAAAATGGGTAAATGCACTGTAATTGCCCGAAATGCAGTTTTCTGGGTATGGCCAATGGGATTTGCGGCATGGTTGGCAGGTTTGATTTTTATCCCAAGAGCGAAGTCTAAAGCTGATCGAGCCAAAACTATTATTAACGACGTGGCGGACCAATTAACTCTCACCCAGGTATTCGTGCTAAAAAAACGATATTTTTAGTTAATCGCGCAATCCAATTCCTATAAAATTGTGGAACCTTTAATGGAATTTATCAGTTTAATAGAAGGCATTAGCCCCTACTTCATGCTTATAGTCATATCAGGCATTTATTGATTGCGGCGTTCAATCATATTTATAGTAATCATTCCTGTCATGGTTTGCAACATCTGAACTCAGGATTAAGCACTTTTTGGCTCAATATCCTTCATTTAAACCTGATATTAAATACTTTTTGATAAACAAAGTTTATATATACTATTGCTATAAACGCACGCAAATTGAATGAATTGATAAAACTAAAAGCAGAAACGGTTTGAAATGTTTTGAACGAATTTATACAATATTTTTATCGAAAGCGTATGTTAATGCTCTGCTAGTTAACTTGAACTGGCTGCTAAACTTATTCAGTGAATATTGTACATGGCGCCCTAACGATGGACTAAAGTACGCAAAACCCGTAATATTTGTTTAAAAATTATCATCGTCACATTGTAAAGGTACTACTTAAACGGGCATCATTTAAATATTTTTTTCTATTGAAACACCCGACTTTTTATTTTATTTTTAAAATCTTACTGGACTTTTTCTTATATAAAATATGAACGATTCATATTTTTTATATCAGAAAGTAAGTGAAATTTACATAAGAATTCCAAAATAACATTAAATATATTTGGGTGTTCCATTAGAAAAAAGTAGTTAATTGTGAATTATTTTAAAATATGTTATCCTTATCCAACCTTTCCAATACGACGATGAACATTTTGATACAAATAATACCGGTTACGTGAACTTACTTTATTCTATACTTGGGACACCCTGTACAGTCGACCTACGAATTATACTGGATTTATAAAATCACCATCAAATTCTAGTCTATTTGCGAGGTTAAATCATTATTTCCACATAGTCTGTTACTGGAAAATTGAATCATCAGAAAACCATACGTTTAAAAAGTCACATAAAG